CCAAATGACCAATGTTCTATATATATATATATATGCTTTTGTTTGTTTAATTGAGATTCACAAATCTACAGATTTTAAAAATTGAGATTGAGGAAAAAAAAAATAACAAGAATGATATGACTTTTGGTATATATGATAACAATAACAACAATATAATGATAATTATGGAAATATTAACTTCCTATAACATGTAAATGTCATTATCTTGAACCATTTCTGATAAGGTTTTGGTCTTGCGATGATAAATCACAAGACCAAAAAAGAATGATAAATTTTTAGACAATTTCTCACTTTCAACAATTGAACCTCTTTATGTACTTAATGTTCTTAACAACATTATGGACAATACAAGTTTTTAGGTTATGTATTTTTCCATGTTTTTTCTATACATATTAAAGTGCCCACTGTTTTCATTGATAAAGCTCTTTCCTTGTTTAATAATTTATGATTTTTTTCATAATGATCACAGCAGGAAGAACATGAACATTTAATAAATTTTGAAGACAACAGGAAATTTGATTATCTAAAATTTGAATGGGGCTCGTATAAAAAGTTTGAAGTAATTAAACTGATAAAAACATTAAAAGAAATTATCTTTATTAGAGTCTGGTCTGTGTTGTCAAGTACGACCATTAATTCACTTCTATTGAAGTTGCCTTACAGATGGAGAGAAAATAAAATTGCAACACTATGAAGAAGGATGTCAATTTAAACTTATGTATGTGTACTCTAATAGGACCAGAGATTCTGATGAAATTTTCTAAGTCTTTGATCATCTTGTCATACCAGTGCATTGTCTCAGAGCTCTAGATAGTGACGCATGTGGCAATAAGGTTTAGTGAAAGCAGGTGTCATGGCACAGAGGCTCCTTTTGTTCAATTAGTCATTTGAGAAGGGTTGAATTGTGGGTCTACAAGAGGCTGGATGATCATTTTCAGAAAATTGCTTCTCCAGCTTAATGCAGTCTATTGGTGGTGCCTTGATTTGACCAACGGTGGTAAAATGAAGATTCCTACACCTGTAGATGAGGCTTGCCAAGACCAACACATTTTAAAAGGCAGCTTTGGCAAACTGTATACATCAGAGCTAATGTAGTCCCATGAGTATCAACAAGATTATTGGAAATCATTTATTTACAGCAGGACTATGAGCAGACATGCCTCTAGCCAAGCTTTAATATCACAAAAGGTTACCTGGTACGCAGTAGTGTCCCAATGATGGCCATTTGTATGCATGACAGACCTGGGGAGTGACATTTTCAGAGTATAGTTGCCCATGATACAGAGGCTTAACCCTTGTCATCATGGTGTGAAGTGCCTTAAGTTAAAACTCTTGGTTGACTTTGTTGTTTGTGGAGAGAAAGTTGAACAGTGCCATGTACACCTAAAACATTGTTCAACTCATTCATGTTGTTCCCGTAACAGGAAGGCAATATGCTGCTCCAGCAGAATAATGCCTGTCCACATTATACCTGTACTACTCAACATGCTCTGTTAGATAATCAAATAACTTTCTTGCTTGGCAATATCATTAGACCTGTTCCCCATTGAATCTGCTTAAGACATGATGGGATGATGCCTAACTCATTCAGTTAGCCCATCTATTGCATCAACAAGTGTAAGAGTAATGCACACATATCAATCTGTATATTGGATTATTTACTTTAAGATATAGTAACTATGGGTTTAATAATCTTGTGTAAATTGAAAAACATTGTGTTGCAACTTTATATTTCATTAGTGTGTCCCTCTTTTTATTTATATATATATATATATATATATCAGTGGCAAAGGGCGAGTTGGATCCAGGGCATGCAGTCACAATATTTTATCAAAAGTACTTTGATGAAATAAAACTATACATTTTCATTTATATTTAGATGATTGATAGCCACTGGGTTCCTCACTAATATCAAGGCTGTGTCAAACTAAGCTCAACTTAGTAAATACCTATTAGGAACCTATCAGAGAGCAATGACAATTTTGTTTCATAAAGCATCGCTAGTGTCGAGAGTTCAATTCTCAATAGGTCAACATGGGCAAAACACAGTAAAATATATTGTGTACACATTAGATGGGCCTATAAAAAATACCAGTTTGATTTATATTTTGTCAACAAAAAAAATCATTCATATGAGATGCATGTATGTGCAGTTATATTTAGTAAACTATGGTTGGAGGCTGAAAAGCACATATTACAAAAGAATTAATTGATTAAAAACATTATCAGAAAATCATTACTACAATTTCTTCTTTTGTTTTAAAATGTAAACCTTTACATTTCCAAGTACAGTGGATTTTGTTTAAGTGAAATACATTGGGAACACAAATTTTGGTCCCTATCAGTGGTCATTCCTTTCAAGATTTTGCATAGAAAACAAAATTATTACATCCATTTGATTCCATTGTTTTACAGTTGGTCCTATAAAGTGGCTATTCCTAACCAAAATTCCATTTCATTGGAATCCACTATATTATAAAAATTAATGAAATAAGATCAAAAGTTGGTAATTGGCAAGCAAAAAATTATCTAGGCGCTACAGCTTCTTCTGTCAAGGAGAAAGTTTCTGGGTCAATTCAGTGGAATTTTTTACCAATTGAATAATGGCACTTGTTCTCATTCATTTCTTTCAAGCCAATATCATAAAAAGTTGGTTTCCTAAAACATTACAAGAAAGGGAAAGGAGAGGAGGGAAAATAACCAAATGCAGGCATGCTTTGACCATCTCCTTATTAATTCTAAAGTCACTTAAGAGGTTCTTTCTATCTGTCCAAAAGTCAGTTTAAAGTTCATTAAAACTACTTTTAAATTAACTATCAACTGGTTATTCGTCTATCAATTAACAACTGCCAACCAATCAAAATATCAATTAAATTCATTCCAAAATATTCATTCCAAAATAACAATCATTTAGCATCTCCCGATTTAACCTTGATTTCCTTAAAGTGTAAGCTTTAGTTGAGAGAGAAATGTTTGTTTCGATAGTTTATTTTGTGTGAAATCAGTGACTTTATTTTAATGGATTATTACAGAATTTCTTTTGACATGAAGTTCAAGAAATACTGGGATAATGCCAATTTTCTTGCAACTACAGTTCCAAAGCCTTACTGTTTAAACTTTAGCACTCTGTAGGTGATGATTTTCACCAAGCAAAATGTTAGTTCTGCTAATGTTAAATTTGAATTTTTTGGTTGTGTAGTCATATCCTTCTCTGGCAACACCTAAAACAATCTAGACTGAAATTGAGAGCCAGGCTACTGCAATTTCAAATACATAGAACTAATATATAAAACACTATATTTTAAAGGGATTCCATATACAGTAAAAGGGGAAGTAATATTTATAAATGATGCAGAGTGCTAGATGTTTGTCAGATCAATTCTGATTTAGTCATTATACTCAGTAATTTTTATAATTCTTTTATAGCTTTTCTAATAAATCATTAACTTCAGGAAATTTTGTTTAATTAAATTATTTTCAATGAACTGCAACTTTATCTACTTTTACTATTTATATTTTGGAGGAATTAGTCTACAAAGAATTTCAGTATTTTTTTTTAGTTTTTTTCTATTAAAATTTAACAAACCAATAATGCCATCAAAGGGTGTCTCTCATGCACACACTGTTAAGATGGATGAGAATCTGCTCAATGGTAATAAGATATACTTGACCCATTATTATCCAGTCATTTTTTAATAATATAAATCCCAATTCTTCAATGGTAATGTGTTAACTTTCAGCAACTCTATAACTGAAGACAACATACACACACAAAGACAAAAAAAATCTCACACTCAACATTCCCATCTTCTCAAGGATTAATGTCTTGATGTTTAACTCTAAAACTGACATTGATGTAAGAAATATGCTAAAAATCTCATAATATTGACAGATCACCTGTAATACCAGTGTCCATTGAAAAGAGGTACCAAATAGTCATTTGTAATATCAGTGTTCATACCTACAGTTATTTACAAAATTATAATAAAGTGCTCCAAATAAAGAAAATAATTAGTCTTGTTCTTGTCCAATAATTAATTTTTTGACAAGTAAGAGCACCTTATAAAGTATTAAAAAAATGCTTTGTTATGTAGAAAAGAAAATTTCTCATTATGATTAAAAGAACAATATGAGAAATTATATATATATATATATATATATATATATATATATATATAATGCAAGCACATGAAAACTATGATTACTGGTCACCTGACATGCCCCACCTCACATTCTTTTTACTGTCTGCAATTGATGATAATGACAATGATTGCAAATACAATTAGTGAATTTTAAAGTCATTACCAATCCAAGAGCTGATTCAAGTGGTGAACTCATTCTTTGAGTTGCTTTTGTTGTTACCACAATGGTTCAAAAGGTGGGGAATATTAGTCATTGTTTCTTTTCTACTGGCCATTACTCTCTCTCTATATATATATATATATATATATATATATATATATATATAGAGAGAGAGAGAGAGAGATAATTAGTAAAAAGAAAACTCTTCTCTTTACATGTGGACAGTCTATTAGCTGAACTGTTGTAGTAACAATAAAGGCAACATACACACAAAATTAATTCAATACTCCAAACAGTTCCATCAGTTTTCCTCAGCTCATCCCATACCTGAACAGCCACAGCAGTAATAGGATGTCATAAGTTTTCAGACATCATCAGTAGTTAGTTATAGCCAGGCTGAAGTGAAGTTAACAACTTTTCAATTGGCAAACCTCCAGATTTATAACAATGCAACTCTAACATGGGGACCATTGAAACATTATTGGATCCTGTGTTAGTCTTTTCATCTTTCTAACTGGACAAAAGAAATTGCTTAGTAACGTTTACAAAAATGAATTTCATTGTTATTTACTTTTTGTCCAACACATAATAAAAACTGAAGATTTGTCAATTGAAATTTTGTGAACTTTTAATTTCTTTACTGAATGAATGTAAATAAAGTCTGAAATGATTAATTTTGCATAATTTCAGATGACGTATTAAACAGTGGAATTGCTCAGCAATGATTCTGGTCTCAGTGGAGGTTCACAGTGAGAACTTGATGCTCTAGACTTTTGGAATGTTGTCTGTTGTTCACTGTTCTCAGTTTGACTGGAATCATGAACTGGAATGGGTAGTGTTGGTACTGGGACTGAATCACATGGACTTACATAGACAATATTAAAGCAAACATGGAGTGGAAAGGTGGCAGCTTCATCCAGAGTTAGAACAGACACATCCTGAAAAAATAAAAATAAAAAAAAACAGAAAAATCATAGAAGTGATGAGAAAATTTTAAATAGTTTCTCATTTATAAAACAAGTTGAAGAAAAAAAAGAAGTGAAAGAGAAAAGAAGCAATCAAGAAATGTACAATAGGAGAGAGAGAGACAGACAGGCGAGTGGGAAAGAACAATCTCTGAAAAAGGGCAAATGAAGGAGGGAAAACAGAATGGGAGAAAGAAAAACAGAAGAGTTTGCCTTCTGCAGCTCCAACTGTTTCTTCATCACATTCTGTCCCATTCTCCATTTCTTTATCTCTTATGCTTTTTCTAGCGTGAAAGATGAATAGAGAAGAGAACTATCACATTCAAAGAGTAGCTGGGAGGGAACCCAAGCTAAAAAAAGCATAAGAGAAAAAGAAATGGAGAGTGGGACAGAATGGGAGATAGGGAGAGACTTTGGAAAAGGAAAAAGTTAAAGGAAAAAGTTGAAGGAAGCAGTAAGAGCAAGAGAAAACTAGAAAAAAAGTAACTGATGAAGAAACAGTTGGAGCTGCAGAAGGTAAAAAAGGTAAGAATGAAGTGTGAAAAAGATAAAATAATAAAAATCTTTATAATAAAAGCAAAATTTTGTTGTTAAGTAAAGTTTAGAATTTCACAACAGATTTGATCAAATATTTTTTAACCCTTTGTGGGTTTGTACTTTGGATTGTAAGAATGTTTTTATTATGATTGGATATTGCGTTAACAATTTTCAGTTTTCAGATGATGACAATGACTTTCCTCAGATACAAATACTATTTAACCCATAACTGGTGAATCAATTCAATCCTTTCCCAAGGGTACTTGCACATAAATGAATGTAACAAACTTGACTAGAATTTGAACTCAGCTCTCAGATTTCTCATTCTGAGCCACTATCCATTACAACACCCACACATCACGTTAATGACAGAAAAATACCAATGGCTTTGATTTCTTCTTAGAGATAGCTTTTTTTGAAGTGAGTTTATTAAGCTTCTCAGATCAGAATTCAATGACTGAAAACCTGACAGATTTAGAAGCAAAGATTTTCCACTTATTTATCTCAAGAGAAGTGATTAAGCCTATGAAGCAATCCAACAACTTTCTTTTTCCCCATGACAAGTGGCTTCTTTTTCCTTCATCTTAGTCTGAAAAGAGCTTCATTACATGATGCAAGCCTATCACTTCACAAGCAATTTAAGGTGCACAGCCAATTAAATGTCAAGTAATAGATCTGATAAGTTACTCTAGACAATTTCTTCTGGGTTTTTTTTTTTCCAGCTTGCATACCAGCAGTTTGTTAGCTATCATCTCTAAGAGAAGAGGACTTTAAGAAAAAATGTTTAAAAACCAAAAAGATTCCAGATCAGAGAAATTGGAAAGATAGAGAAGTAAAAAAAAAAAAAAAATCTTATTGATGATCAAATAGAGGATAGCATTTCTGGACTTTAAAAGGGGGAGAGAAAAAAAAAAAATAAAGTCTTGGAATCTTTGATTCATTATCGGTGTGGGATCAGAGAATTGGCAGTGTTTTGCTCAGTGAGGATGAAAGAGAGACCCAGGGAGAGGGGGGGGAAGAGAGAAAGTGAACAAAAAGGTGGATTCAGGAAATGGAAAGAGCTCATTGCAATCATAGCAGTTGTGGCTGATAATCCTACATTAACTGATATTTGACATTTTCTATAAGAAAATAAGCAGCAGTTTTTCATATCTGGAGAGTTCTTGCAAGATATATTTGTATTCATTCAGTACATAAACGAGTACTATTTTTTATCTGATGACATTTACATACAAATATGCACACACACACACACACACACATATATATATATATATATATATATATATATATATATATATATGGATCAATAAGTTCATAGCTTGACATGACATGCAGGTATTAGTTGAAATTTTCACTGTATTATTTGTAAGATTAATTAAATTTATTAAGTGCATTGACAAGGAGATTATATTAGAGTAAATACTTTTTTATCATTAGGATAGAGAGCTATTTATGTGCCTCCATAGACAAAGAATGAAGAGAGTATAGATTACAATCAATGTTGCGCACAAACACAGAGCCAACTTTTTGTAATGTATACTTACATCTTTACATAAATTTCAAATTATTTAGAAACAAAAGTAGCATTATCTGTTGCATTTATTTCACAATGATAGAAGAAAAAAATAATTTCAGTAGCTAGAATAAAACTATAGGCATCACATATCAGAATGCTTTAAACCATTTCAACAGAGAGTAGTTGCTAATCATACAAAGGTACTGGCTTTTTGCATGTGTGTGTGATATATATCTCACACACACAAGTTTGGTTAAATAGCAATAAAAGTAAATAATTTTTTCAATGTTTATGATCAATTTTTTGGCAATGTTTAACATCCGTGTCTGTAAAAAAAAAAAAAAAAAGAAAAGTGTGAAAAGACCAGTTATTCACTTGACACTACTATTAGTTTGTACACTTGTGACTCCCTCAGTAATGTTTATTGTCCTAAAAGGTAATGATTAGAATTTTAGTAAAACCCAAACATATGAAAGTGGACTTATACATTTTCTTTATTCTTGAGAATTGACAACAAAGATATTAAATATTATTTATTAAATTTGCTTATTTACAATAATTTAAAAGATTATAAAAATGAGAACCAACTATAATCAAATACTTATTTACCATTTTATAAAAAATAAATATCAAAAGAATTTTTTTTTTATTCATCAATTTACAAAAATGTCTAAACAAGAAAATTTAAATAAACACAATGACAAGTAACTAATTAGAATCTTTTTGACAAAATGCATTTTTCAGGCATTTCTTCCACTGAACCAAACATTCTTTTAGGCGAGACTACAAACACTCAATATTTTGAGTGCGTATCTCCCTATTTATTGGGTGTATAAAATTTTCCTTGTGTATAATTATATCATATTGTAGTTGGTTTACATACTTTGATGATTTTTTTAATAAATTTTTGAATAAATAGATTTCTTTTTCAAATTTATTTCTTTATAAAAATGGTAAATATATCTTTATAGAAGTTAAATACTAAATATCGAATCATATTTGGTTCATATATTTTATAATCTTGAAAATAAACGTTACAGAGAGTCAAAAGTGTATGCAGTAATAGCGGTGTAAAGGGAATAACTGTCCTTTTGATAGTTTTTTTTTTTTTTGTGGTACAAAGGTTAAACATTACCCCCAAGAAACTAAGATAATCTGAGTATTCATGCAAGATAACATTCCTTCAAATTTTGTAATGCTGCCTACTGGCTATTTTCTCACAAAAAAGCTTCAAAGACACCAAATTAATGGAATGGTCCATAGTTTCTAGAGATGAATAATCCAACAGAAAGCTTGCAATCCACCAGTAAGACCAGTGTATGAATGAAAAACATAATTTTGGAACTGCTACAAATACTATTAAAATTAAAATAGCATAAATGTTAACAAAAATCAATCAAGACTAAAGAATGTTACAGAATGTCAAGGAGCCTACGTTAACATGTAAATTATTCAGATAGATGAAATATAGCAATAATCAAATGTTTCTATGGCCTATAACTTGAATTTATTATAAAGATTTATGCTGTAGTTAGTTTGTATAATAAAAAAAAATGATACCCTCTGAACAAATTAGAAAATTGGGGGGTGGGGAATAAGGAGAGATGTTATAAACTTATACAACATAGTGAGCCTATAAATGTAACTATGTCCAGAAAGTTTTGGTTGGCTAATACTAATATGAAATAACAACTGACAAGATACTGTGTTTAAGTTTTTTATGGAATTTTGACTTATGTTCTTACAATTTTCTTCTTTCCTGGTTGGTAAATTATGTTTGGTTTAAAAAATTCATTTTGTTTAGTTTTCTGGTATATCAACCTCAATGGGTTAACAATGCCGACAACTTTTTCCTGTTAACATTGTTTTTGTCAAAATTCTATTTCTTTTTATATTTTTTTCCTCAAAATTTATAGCGATAGTAATTTATTAAAAAAAATATATGCTGGTAATATTTTTTCAAAAACATGAATAAAATAATTTTTACAAAATTTGGATTAAAATATATTTTACAGTTTATATAATGTTTTATTTCCATTTTGAAGTTAACTATTTATACTTGGAATTTGAAAAAATTATCTGATGAATGGTTTAATTTTTACCCTGGAAATGGATGTAGTCTATAGTCATACATGGATGGACATAAATTATGAGAAATTGTTCTAAAATGTTCTGTATGTCAAGTAGTTTTATACTTTTGTCAAAATTTTGTCTGGTCGATTTTATTTTTTATTCCATGTATAAAATGTTTTATTTTTAAGGTTCGGTGTACATAAATTCTTTTAGTCATGTTTAAATATTTAATATAATTATACCATATTTGGATTTAGTCATGGTGAAAATGATCTTTAAGAAATTCAAAATATATTTCTCTGTAATTTGGATGTTTATGTTTTTTTTTTATTATTTTAGTTAATCATTTTATTTTTTTTTAAATCCGCACTATACAATTTTCTTGTTTTTAAAACTAGAATTGTATATTTCTTTATAATGTTTTAAAATAGGAATATATATATATATATATATATATATATATAAATTTGACTTTTTAACAAATGTTTTGAAAAAAATTTTAAATGTATGTTGCTTAGAAAATTCAAAAGAGGCCTCAAACATACAGAACATGATAATTTCTACATAATTTATGTGCACAAAAATCTTTATAAAACATAAAATCAAAAAAACATTTAACATATTGTCCAGACTTTTAACGTTATATAAATAAATAAAATCTTGTTGCAATTTAACCAAATTTTATATATATAATATAATTTATTACATGTAAAAATAATAAATAAAAACTATAAAAATTAAACCCTTACATCAAAATTTTTAAATCAAAATATCTTTATTAATATAATATATTTTCTATGAAATATTTTCATATAAATTTGAATAAATAAAATTTGCAAAACAT